GCTTCTTCACATTTAGCTCCACATAACCCATTTCCCAGGAGGACAAAGGCAAAGCTAGGAAAGTGTTTAGGTAACAGGTGGAAGCAAGGATCCTCTTCCACTGGTGAATGCAGAAATCTGGCTTTTTTTACAAGCGATTTAATTTTGAATCAGAGATGATCACAAGCAATTTATTTTTATTTCTCAGATTTCACAGTGCTCCTGTCTACCCAAAACAATAGTCCCAAGACATCTGGAAGGTCCAAGAGCTAAGTCTTCTACTCAACAGAGAGCAGAAAAGATGGTGTTTTGATTGGAGCTGATGAAAAAACTTTTTAGTGATCTCGTCAGGATTTGGAAGATGCTTGTAAAAGACAGTATCTGTTTCAGCTGGTTTCTGAGAGATAAAGCAAGAGTCGATTTTAAAAGACACTTCCTTTGTACGTATGGAGACAGATGCAAAACAAATGCATGTATGATGCTACTTAAAACTCCACGTTGGGTACAATATCTTTCTTTCTATCGCACTCGGCTCTGCAAAGGTCACAGCTCTAAGTGGTTGTAATTTCGCTTCTTGGTGAAGGACTGAACAGAGGAACTTGTGAGGACATGAGACCAAACACAGCCAATTTCTCCAGTCCATGCCTGTGGATGAAACATTTCAGTGACTACAGGAAGGAAACATCTTTTACTGACTCATTCTGTTCGGTGACGCTTCTTTACGTGAATGAATAACTGCAGTCTAAAGGGCAGTTTCTTTTATGCATGGTAATTACATTTAATATTGCACTTAGCTTGGAGCAGACTGATTAGCATAACAGCTGTCTACATCTTTCTCCAAGGAGTAGTGGACACAGTGTTGGAGTATTCCTATGCATAAGTTCTTCAGCAAAACTTGGCTCACCTTTAGTGGCTGTCACCAATCCACATGCACTGGGAAGAAGCCAGGCTCAGATTAGCTAGAAAACAAACTTGAAAATTCTATCAGTTTTGTCACAGCTGTGTTGAAGAGACTCATCAGTAGAAAGCAAGCAAGCAATACACACACATAGGCTATTCATGGGGCTTTCCATCTTTGTGAGAAAAATCCTCATCCTCTGAGTAACTGCATTTAAAAATAAAACAGAGGACTGGAAATGAAAATGTTACAGGCTGGAAGGATTCATGGTATATGGAGTTTGACTTTGCCTGCTATCAGTGTGCTCAAAAGGAGGATGAGAGTGCAAGCGATCAAAATCATCTGACACTGAGTTAATAGCCACTTCTATCCAGAGACATGCAGGGATCCATACGTACGGCACCAGTCTTTGTCCAAATGCTGTACGGCAGTTCTCTATTGCAACCAGCACTTAAATTAAGCAACTGAAGCACAAACCGTTTCTCCTTACCTGACTGAAAAGCGTCACTTTCACTATAATTATAACATAAAAAATCCTAACGACAGCAATTAATCAACTCTCTCTCTAAGGAATAGTCTTAGGAGAGCATGACCGAGTATCTTGAAATGTATACCGTTCTCCTCTGCCTTTATTAAATAACCAGGCAAGCTGTCAATGTATGTGAGCTCTATAAAGATGTTGCCTAAGACAGGATTTCATCATTTCAGTGTAGGGACAATGAACAGCGTATAAAAGAATATTAATGCAGTGGAAATATTCTTGTTACATAGCTCCTTCTTAACAAGGATTACTTTTGCAATACTTAACACTGTTGGCAACTGTAAACCTATCATAGGCTTAAAATTCCTGATGAGTGGGCAAAAAAGTCTTGTTTTCGAAGTGAAGAGTCTATTGCAGTCAGCCTTGTAAATGAAACCTTTTAGTGTCAGTGATAATGAAAATATCTGCTACCTATGACAGAGCTAAAATGGTGTCATGACCTGGCAATTTCTATTCAGTGCTGTCACATCCATGAACTGCACAGACCCGAATTGTCATCATGTAAATGTAATAGGATTCTTTATCCTGCATTGTTGCTCAGTTGGGAACAGTAATTCCAAGTTTCCTGTAAGTTATGAATAGCAGCAGGGGGCCATAAATAGCTTGGAAACCTATATTTTTTCCATTTATTTTTTTTTAAATGCAAATTACACTAGTAAGTCAAAAAAATCACTTTTGTTAAAAATACATTCAGAATTAACAAATGCCAAAAAGAAAAGAAAAAAAAGACACATTTGGATTGTATCTCTTGCCTTCTGAATATTTAAGTTTATAACAAAAGCCCAGCCTAGAAAAATAACATTCTTTACTGGATTTTGAGGAGGATACAGCTGTACAAATCAAAAATGTCATCCAGATATTCTCACATTACTGTGCTCTAAACTGCTTCCAGAAGAGATCTGTCCACTAATCATTTAGTTTAGTAGTCAAAGTCCTAATTTCTTTTTAATGGTAGTGCTCTAACTGCAACTTAAGCAGGGTTATGGATACCAACTTCATATAGGTATGTACGTGTATATATATGTATACAGTGTGTATGTGAGTGTGTGTATATCTACTTTATATGTAATATATGAATATGTATTTATATTATAATCCTTAATAGTTAGATGTGCTTCCTGTTTCCTAAGCACTTTACAAACATTAACAATCCAGGCCTCACAAAAAGACTGTGAGGCACATATTATTCCCATTTTATAGATGGGAAGACTAAGACACAGAGAAATGAAGGCCAACATTTTCTAGATTAAAATCAGGCCTAAAAGCTATGTGTAGACATTTTATTAAATTGTCTGACTCCTAAAATTGCGAACTACCAGTAACTGCCGTTACGTGGGAAATATCTGAGAGGTATGAAAAATTATCTTCTGAAAATTTGATCGCTGCTTAGGTGCCTAAGCTGGCTTCTTTTCACTTTAAAAGATGATTTTTACAGAAATATGATTTTGACTGAGTGTTATACAGGGAAAGCAGAAATAACCTGTTATGACATTTTCACCCTAGTTAAAACTCTGCATTGTGTTTAATGTCTGCTGTATTTAATACTACATAAAAGTAGAAACATTCAAAATTTTTCAAGTTACGGGAAATTTCAGCTTGGCACTTGGAAGTTGCATGATTTTCCAGGGGGTGAAAATCAGCTCTATCCGGAATGAACACAGAATTCCAGGTATCCAAGTCTGAAAATTTAAATTTGAGATTGAAATCAGCAATGAATGCTTTAGAGAATTAGGCCTAGGGGACTATCACAGGAAATCTCTAGCAGGATCTGGGGCTGGAGCCCTTGGCCACCTGCATCAGATGCTTCCTTGGTTATGCAGCCCCTGTCAACAGTTATTACTGTGTATTTTATGTACATAGACATACACACGCACACACTCTTACATATATATATATGTATAAATCTTACTGGATAAATGTAAGTATAGTTCCTGAACTTGTCCTGTATCTTATTTCCACTGATGAATGCCTGTTCCTCTGTCATTGTCCAGAGTTGTTGCTTGTGACACTGTACATCCATGCAGACACAGCAAAGGGCACTGGTTTGTACAGGGATGGATGAGTGGCGTGAGCGCACAGGCCGTGGGAGCTCGGGAGCCGCACAGGCACGAGTGTTCAGCCAGCAAGGAAAAGGGAGATGCTCTGGGGCAGCTCGAGCCTTTCCAAGCAACTGACCTTCCCTCTTGCCCTCCAAAGCTCCGTGGTCACCTCAGGTGTGATAGGTGTGTGGGTTTGCCTGTGCAAGGTCTGAGCAAAGAAACAATGACAATCCAAGTTTCTGAAAAGCCTGAGCAAAATATTGGGTTTTTCCTAATGAAAGCCACCTAAGTGCTTAAAAATACAGATCAGATGTAGAACAAAACATATGTTCCTAGGAGTTCAGAGTATTTCATATACACATTGACCTACTAGCAAAATTCCCAAAGGCATCTTGTTGCCAACTACGTAACAGCACAGGTTTTTTTCAGCCACGATAATACAGGAAGATAAAATACACGTTCTAACACACAACAGATCCCCCAAATATATCACAAAAAAGTCTCCAATATTTCTTCAACTCAACTAGTCCCTCCCCACCCTCCCCAGCTGAAACAAAAAAAATTATGTGGATCCCTTATGGTGCAATTAGAAAATAAAAGCTCAATTACAGAGAATTTTCAGTTGAAATTAGATATAAAAGAGTAAACATAGCTAGTACATATTCAGTTGGCCTTTGTTGATAGAAATCTGCAGATGTCTCTGTAGTTAGTAAAAGACATTTAGAGATAAGCTATAAAAGCACCTACAGTGCGATAAATAAAACCAGCGGGATTAAGAAACACTGTTTCTTCTGCTTATTTCCAGTAGGTTCAACTATTAGTTTATGTTACCCCTTTCCCCACCCCGACCCCCAAAAGGTCTCATTTCTTTTTTTTCTTTTCTTTTTTTTTTTTTTTAAACATTATAAACTGTTTGTTTCTTGACCACTGTGGAGCCTCAAAAGTAAAGCACTTCTCAGACAGCTGGCAGTTTTCTACTCGGTCGCTCTGGAGCTGTGGAGCAACAGAGCCTTATTCCCTGACAAGAAAACAAAACAAAACAAAACCAAACAGAAGAAAACCACTGACTTCAAAAGCGTTCAGTATTAACAGCAGCATGTTGAGCCTAAAGGACGTTACTTTAGAAAGCTTGCACGGAGTTCTTCTGATGTGCAATGCAGTCGGGTTAAGGCAAGTATGAACTGTACAGCCTTCAGGGCAAACAATGCGCTGTCTATTGACTTCTGCTGCAAGGTCATCCTGGTATTTTCAGTGTTGTGTTGACTAAGGAGTCTCGATGAGGCCAGGAGTGCGGAGGGGGCTCCGAAAGCACCGAATGGGCTGGGTACACATCTTAGTCCAGATGGGCCACACTGGCAGTGGCTGGGGTAAGGAAGAGCCAGAAGATGGCCCCAGCGCCTCTGCTCTGGCTCTCTGGTGCTGGGAGGCAGGAGGTCCAAGGTAGGGATCTGGGACATTTCCTTAGTACCTGTTAGGAAGAGGGACTGAAGGCGTCTGTTGCTTTTTTGTCTCACTGTTCAATCAGCTTTTTTTTTTCAGCACAAAAACTGGATTTTTTTTTGCTCTTTGAAGAACCAGGGAGCCATCCTAAAACAGTTTCTCTGACAGGTCCTCCAGCCCACGTTGAGTAGCCCCTTTGTTTACTTTGACCTAGAAGAAAGACAGAAAAAGAAAGATACTTATAATCCACCATATACCTGTCCAATCACTGCCCTGCTGCTCTGGTGCCCTCTTGCAAGCGTGAGCCACCAGCCAGTACCTGTTCAGGTACACAGGCGATGAAGAGGACTGAAAGGCACGGTGTTTGCTCAGGTGATCACCTGGCTTTCTCTGGAACATCATCAGAGAAGTCAGCACAGGTTCTCTAAACCATTCTAGGCAGGAGTGATATATAATAAGAAAGTTAACCGTATACCTATGTGTGAACTGAAAGATGACCTGGACTACAACAACCCATCAGAAATGAAGCTGTCTTTGTAAAATCAGGAATTGATGTGGTATGCAGGACAGAAGAGCTGAATTGCAGGTGCCTGGGAAAGTTGCCTGAGGCTCACTCGCAAAGCAGAGTGCATGTCTGAGTGCCACAGCCCTGCATACCTGAAGAGCCCTGTCCCAAATCCACATTTTCTAATTCCAGCTTTCAGTCTAAAACAGATGAGATGCTGTTGGTTGCTAGACAAGGCTTAGCTGGTAGTTTATTTAAATGAAATGTTGCCCATAAAGTCTGAATCCCACAAACATGAATCTTAAGGAGACAATAACAGAGCAGATTTGTACTGCCTGAACTTGCTGAGTGTCACAGTGGTTGTACTCTAGGTGCTGGTTTTTGTGTCTTGCTTATGTTTCATCTGTACTTCAAGTGAATGGTAAAGTAGGTAGTACCTTCAGTATGTGCAATTATCTAGACAAATGTCTACAGCCTGAGACTAGGAGACCATGACCAGCATAATGCACATGTAAATACAACAGAGAGAAAGATGAGACCATGTACAAAGGCAAATATATTAACACCTCCTACACCTCTCTGTCCCTGAGTTATTGACTTGAAATGCCTCTAACAGCCAGCAACTGCCATTAAGTGCCTTAATTGAAAGCAATGCCTACCAATAGTGCTGTGTAGCAGAATACACCTAAGTGGGGGTATATATATACACGCACATACATATAAAGGGGGGTGCATAGAGGGGGGTGTGTTTCTATGCATATGTAGTATGAGTATATATATATATATATATAAAATGCAAAGCTTCTCAGACTTCACAGAATATGAGGAAAGCAAGCTTCACTTCAGGGATGAACTGCTTTTGAGCAATTTCTCCAGTGCATTAGGCATCAGCATCAGACATGCATGCTTTTTTTTTGCTTCACTTCTTCTTTTCCTGAGCAAACAAGTACACTATGAAAAACATTAAAAAAAATATCTCTCCCCTCCCTCCTTCATACTGTTTTTAGAGCAGTGATCATGCAGCGCACTCTTGTTCCACAACTACAAATGTGTTTTTCTCGTGTGCAGCAGAATCAGTGCCATGGAGTGTTTAGTCACCTTCCTTGGTCACCTCCCAAGAGCAGAATTTTCTCTTGACAATTGATTTCCACCATCTTATTGTGTTCTTGTTCCATGGTCTGGAAATGAGCACTGACATCTCCCGCTCAGAATGCCAGGAAGCTGCTTTTTAGGACATCAACTGTGGCAACACTGCAAGGAGGTACATGAGCACCAGTTCTCTCCATGTCTGTTTAAAAAGCGTATTCATTTTGAAGGGACTGTCTAGGCTTCTTGGCTTGTACAACACAGAGCACACTGTTGGCACTTAAATAATAAAAAAAGCCATTTGTAACAGGTAAATAAAAGTAATGATAAGAATCCTCCCTCAAAAGCACAGTGTTTTATTAAAAACATAATTTTAAATTGAATATATTTTTCTCTTTAGAAAGTAAGCTGATTTAAATTAAATGTGAAATTGGGAAAGATGATAAGGAGAGATGCTGCTGGAATTCAAAGCTTAAAATATAGAGAAAGGAAACAAAGTGAGCCCGAATCTAATAATTCCAGACTATTTAAGGGAACAGTAGCCAGAGATAGTCACCTCAATTCACTATCTACAGATAATGCTGCTTTTTCATAAATCAAGATTTTCTTTCCGTAAGTATTCTGTTCATTTATGGTAGTTTTGCATAACTCATGAAATTCTACACAAATGTTCTGTGTGCATTTAAACTGAATTGGAATGTTCTTATAAGTAGAGCTTGATTGATAGCATAAAAAAATGTAATAATTCTTTAGATAACAAAGTCCTCACACAATAGATAAGTAGACATGAAGAGCCTGAATAAATCAATACGACTATGTAATTGCACGTATAAGTTTGTGTAGGTTCAGTATAACCTCCACATTAACAAAATGAAGTGCTATCTTTAGCACACAGGAAGAAGCTGGTTACAAAACTGTGTGTCTTAACCATTAGCAATTACTAAACCCAGCATTCCTTCAGGATAATAATTAAACTGTGCACGTATAAGACAGTTAAAATTGATCTCAGTCACTTGAATGTAAATCTGTCTTGCTTGGATTGAAATAAAAGTTTGTGTTGATGGACTTGTGTCATTGCAATCCATTAAATCAATCCACGTCAGCAAGCAGTCTGTGGACGATGACTAAGACCTACCACACAACTCTACATCTTTAAGATTTGTACTGTTTCTGTATGTGAATCGATCTGGTAAATAAATGGGGGGGGTGAAGGGGGTAGTTCTCTGCTTATTACTGAAATACATGTTGAAATTTGCATTTTGACAGCATCTGTACAACCATAAGAAGCTGATACTGTTTTGGTAAGCTCTTCAAAGCTGAAGTCTTATGTTCTGCTCCGCTTATGTAGCATACCTAACACACCTATAGGTGCTATTACACCACAGACAACACAAAGAGGTGTTACTGTGCCTTTGGATATAGTTAGTAACCAGATGATTTAAAGGCAACTATCTCCTATTTCTGTCGTAAATTCAGAGCTCCACATGATCTGTACCCAGTGTGAGCCTGAGTAGTAGAGGACGCAGGGGTGACAATAAGCTATCTTAATATTTCATGATCTGTTGCAGGAATTAGGATGATGCTTACTATATACTCCACTGCCTATGGATTCCATACTCATCCCTTAGAGACAGTGAGCATTGTAAAGTGTAGGTGACATTGGTCAGAGAGCTTTGTTAAGTCCTGAATTTTTTGTTTTTCTCCTTGAATACTATGGAGGCTAACACTGATGTTCTTTGGTGAACAAGATCCCTAGGGAACCAAACCCTTCCTCCCAACAAATAAAGCTTTAAAACATCAAGTATGGCCTGCTGTTATCGCATCAGTGTGTTTTGATTTTTAGTACGTAATATTGCTGCAAATAGTGCTACAAGCACATTAAACCACGGCTTGATTAATTTGACATTCGAATTTGTCACCCCACTACCTAATGGTCTTTCTACATTTACAAAGCAACTGCAGTGTGAATACATATGCATGTGTTCCCGATGCGCCTCAGCTGTAAATAACAGAAAGGTATTACTAAATGCTGTAAAAGCCTCTTAAGGACAGACTGTAACAATTCTAGAGAACCTTGTCAAATAAATACCATACAATCAGAGGGAAACATGAAGTGTCTTTGTTTGACTGTGGCTGGGACGTGGCAATATTTTTTTGGGTTGATTGGACAAAACGTCGGCTCACATACTGTTTTCTGTCTCTCAGTTAAGACAGTGAAATCACCTATACTCCAGTGAGAAGGCAGCATTGAAATAAGGCTGAACACAGTTTACATGGTTTAATCATATATCTCTTCATCTCAGCTACAAGCTTAGAAATATTGCCTTCTTTTTTTCCACAGGTCTAGCTTTCTTTCCAGTCAGTATGAAGATGCTCAGTAAATGCAATCTGCTGTTCTGGAAGAAACACTGAGAGCATAAAAAGAATGGGATGATATCTCAGCTAGAGGGCTCCATATGTTGATGACAAGTTATGGTATACCAAGAAAGAAATAGGATTAGAATTGTTCTAAGTACCTATGAGCCACACATAATACTAGGCAGGAAATAACATTTTCTAAATGCAAAGCACTGTGCCAAAAGTGCAGGTGAAAAATCTTTATTTGAGCACAGACAGATGGGAAGCTGACGTTAAGATGGCATTGGAGATATGCACTATTGTAATTTGAGATTATTAAAAAGCTCCTAGCAAAGTTCCCAAAGGGCTCAATCCTAAGCACTACCGCAGAACTGATTGCACCACTGGTAAAGGAGTAAATGCCAATTCCATGCAAAAAGCCACTAATCCATTAACAGACTTGCTTCCACTAATCAGAAGAAGAGAAATTACATTCAAGGGTGAATGGAAGTGTATGGTGGGATGGATATTGTTTACCTGCATTTAGTTCTTTTCCTCAAAAGGAATATTTCAGAAGAGAAACAAAGGAAAAAAGTAAATGCTGCCCCTTTATGAGCTGTTCTGTGCTGTGCTTTTACCGTGTAGGCCAGTGATGGTAAATAAAAAACATTTCAAAAGGCTGCGGCAGTGAGGCAAGATTTATTTGGGCAGTCAGGACAGTTCTGAATTGCAGCTGGCATCAGTACAAGAAATATTTGGAGATGATTATTCCTGGACTGGTCTATGGTTGGATGTTAACTCTAGTGTGAATGTACCCCAGTTGTGCATATGTGCTGAGATTTGATTACTCATTTAATCTCCAGATATATCAGGCTGCACTTCTAGGCAGTGGATGGAGTTGTCACTCTCACTGGCTAGGTAAAATACTGTCTTCTATGCAAACTTGTTTAAAAAGCCACATGTTGTTACATTTGTTTTGATTTTTTTTTTTTTTTAAATTGTGAAGACTGGAAATGAGGTACAGAGGTTCCTCAGAAAACAGATGTGCTGATAAGACAAATGTTAAATGCATCCACTAAATTAGCAAGTTGCTGAACTTCTGTAAAAAAATTAATAGCAAACACTTTTTTGCAACCAAGTTTTGTCAGATCTGACTATTTTTTTACTAAACCAAATTCTAATTGCCTTTGAGTGGCTCCTGCTTGAACCAAAATGGGGGAAACAGGTGAGAGCTGGGTATTATTTAAACAAATTTGTCACATTGAATCCTGCCATAAGAAATCATTATAATTCAACAGAAGAGTAATGTTGATGCTTAAGTGTAGCATGAATTCAGTCTCTTGAAAAAGACTTCTCTCTATTCTGAAATCTTAAGTCACGTCACCTTTCAGTTTAATGAGCCTTTAATATCCCCCTGCCACTCTGCAGAATATCTCAGAAGTGGAGTACTTACATATACATGGGCTGTAGCTGTAAATGAGATGTCTTCTGTGGACCTTGATAGCCGTAAGAGTCAAATCCACCTATGAAATCAACTGAAAGGGGGGAAAATTGCTTTCATTAGCAACATCTTATCGGAAGTGATAGGCACTATCATTCAAGAAACACCCAGCACACAGATTACTTTTGACAAACCCCCTAATAATCTTTTAAAATTAGACCAGATAATTGTGGAGTTGCAGAAAAAGGGTCAAAAAAGAGAGGAAGGCAAAGTCCATTTTTTATTTTTAAAATCAAATTAATTTTACAATGACGGAAAGACAATAAGGCATTTATAACAGCCGTCTGTCTGTCAGAAATAGCCCCACATCCCTCTTTTTCAAGTAGACTACCTCACTGGAGCACAAAGCAACATGCTATTCAGATATCACAAATGCTGAAAACCATTTGTTTATTGGCATGGATGCATTGCTTCTGACTGTGATTACTGTGTCTGGCTTGCTGTCATACTCTGGTTCAGTGATGTAGAGGAGCGAGCGTATTGATCCGACTCTGTCTGAGAGACAGAAGTTTCTCTGATTCCCTGCTTTGACATTTGGGTTGAAACGCACGAACAGACGGTTGGAACAGTTTATCTGAGCTTCGGAGATGAGGCCTCACAGATCTAAGCAAACCAGCATTTCTTTCACGGTGCTGGAGGTTTGCAGGAAGGTTGTAGGGTGGGAGTTATTTATTCATTCACACCACTGTGAGTTCCTGATGGTCTTCTCATGTGTATTTTAAACATTTTCCAGGGCAATTCAATTTCATCTGAGCCCAAGACCCCTGTTTCTCTGCTATAACACTTTCTTTACACGGGTAAAAGTGCACCCTTTGCTTCCTTTGCACCAGGAAACCTAACTATTGACTTTTGGGGGTTATTAGTGGGCAGCTGTCATCCCTAATGTATTGTGTCTTACACATCAGATGTGAATTTGACTTGACTTTAATAAAAATGGTCAAAGAGTTCAGGTGTGGAAGTGCGTTTTTCACAGGTCTGGGCACTGCTACTGACAGACTGGCTCTGCGTACATTAAAAGCAAAAATCATGAAAAGGTTCTTTCATAGAGAATAGCTTCTTGTGGATCTAAAATGCAGTAATATTCACGTAAAAATCACAAAATATATAATATATGATATATATTATATGTATTATAACCATTGGTTTGAGAACTTTCACAGTGGTTGGAGTCGTTAAAACTTACATTTATGATGTTATTTCATATTAAGGTACCCCTCAATGTGTGCCACGCTTATCAATGCGGTCACACACATTCCAGACATGTTAGAAAATCAAGTTCTTGTACCCCTCTGTCCACCATTTACTTTGCAAGCAAAAAGCCACCAAAACACTAGACTGGACCAGTACAGTATGTATCCTTTGCAACCACAGACCTGTTGAACCTGTCACCTAACTTCTTCCCTGGCGTGAATAGCCCCTGCAGAAAAAAATTAGCCGATTCTGTGCTCTGTGGCAGTATTACATATACTCTTATCCCAGAATGATGTTTTACTAAATTAATCCCTGACATCTCTAATGAAGGAAATTCTATAGCCTCTGTGTTGCCTTTCCCTGCACCTAACTTCCTAATGTCGATTAGGACATTAAATGTAATTTAAATTAAATGTAATTTCCTGCAAATTAACTACTTTTCTACATTTTGGCCTTTTCTCCCTATGGATATGAAGACAAATGGGCCATTTTTTTTTTCTTTCGCAACTACTTTTAAGCGTTTTAAGAAAGTGTTTTCATGCTATCCATCTTTTCCAGATTTAAGCATACCTAGTTCTTGCAAATTTTTCGCATGGACCATGTTTTCCAAGCCTCTAAATTTCCAGGTCTGGGGATACTTCTTTAGTTTGCTTACATTTTTCTTACAGTGTGGTGCACAAATCAGGACTAACTGGAACAACTGCCATGTAGGTCGTCTGTACATTGCTTGAAATAACATTGTGGGTTTGGGTTTTTTTAATGTTTTCTTTTTTCTTTTTTCTTTTTTCAACAGCATCATACAAACACTTAATAACCAGATCTTTATTTTTATGTTTTGACACTAACTGTAGTCTAGCACAGTAGTCTGTATTTTATCTGAAAACACTTGATTGATTCTTCCCCACAGGAGTTCTTTTGCACTTGTCTGTATTGAATTTCATCTTCTTGATTTCAAGCCACTTCTCAATATCATTTTGACGTCTAATCCTGTCTTCACAAGTGCTTGTACCCCTCCCAATATGGTTCCACCTGAAATTTTTATAAATGTGCTCTCCTCCATCATCCTTGCTGTTAACAAAAATATTGAAGACAATTATTTCCCTAGCCGAGGTCCCAGTGGGATCCCATCTGAAATGTCATCTTAGCTGGTTGATATCTAAATTTCAAACAGAGTTTTAAAGAATGCTGCACACAATCTATGATGGCTGCATCTGGACAGTGCTTCCCTGGCCTGCTTACAAACCTTTCACTGGGTGAAAATCTTGCTAAAATCAAGATAAATGTCATTTGTTGCTTTCTACTTACTCACTGTAACAATCAGAATAACTTTATTACAATGTGATCATGTCTTTGGAAGCATGCTAAGTTTATAGGCACAGTATGAAGAATTCACTATAGGAATATTGTTGAAAGAAGTGCTAGGCTGGGAGCAAATAAAACCCCTCATACAAATACAAAGATTGCAGCAAAAAGAACGGACATGTCTTTGCTAGATGTGTGGTTTGTTGTTCTTTTGCCCAGTTTTCCTTTTTTTTCTCACTCTTGACCTCTGACAAGTCAGGAAATTCCTGTGTCGGATGGAGTGTCCCACTGGTGTCAACCCATGTCACTTCATGGGTGTTGCTTATATGCATTTGTCCAGATGTGCATTCTTTGTGTACTTCCTAAGACCCTTCAAGCAACGGGTAAATCATTATTAGATGGCTGCAGGCATAGATACCCTGTTTTGAAGACATGGCCCAAAAAGTCTTAAGGGTGATTTTAGTGTTGTTTTCAGAAAGCTAAACCAAAGTGTCAAGAAAAAGATTTCTTTGAGTGAAATGAGTTTGTGTGGGCATGACAGAAAGGTGCATGACGAGTATCTCTGCATGCATTGCACTGTTGCACAGAGTAAACACAGAGTATTAACAGGCCAGACTGTCGAGTGACAAATGAGGTGAGCTTGTAGAGACATTTCTATATTCAGCTGACAGTGGAAGTTCCCATGTGCGTAACCCAATGATAGTAGGGCAAAGAGTACTACGGTGGCCTTGTTGTAGGCATACAATGGCTTCTTACACGCAACAACAAACTTTGCAAGGTAGGTAAAGGTAGATAATAGAAAGTGGACTCCAAAATGTAAGGATTTCAGTAATTTCTTTGTAGTGAATTTTCTTGATGGTGGCAGTTTCTCAGCAGTGTGAAGCCTGAGGTGTCCAGACTGTGCTAAAAGCTCCCTGTGGACTCTAAGCTAGTTCCTTAAAGCATGCAAAGTGCTGCCCTTTCTGCAAGCATTTTATCCTGGCTGTGCCTCAAAGGTCACTAACAGTGTCTCACGACTGATACATTCCTGGCAGCAGTAACACACGTTGAATAAAACAAGGCTCATTAGTGGACTTGCTACAGGGGCTCCCATCCTTAACCTCATCCATCAAACACGTTTTTGACCGTTCTATTTTACTTTTGTCTTACGTGTCATTGTTACCAGAAGTGGCTCTTTTGTCACGTTTTGCTTCAGCAAAAGCACAGGTGCATACACAAACAAACACAGGATCACATTCCTTCAAAATGCTGGATGCTGAAATGCTTATTTTCCTGGCTGGACTGGAGTACAGTAATAACAGTACTATTTGTTGGTTAAATTTGTTGCAAGAAATTCAGCCAGAGTGTTTTCTTCCTTTGCTGGTGTTAAGGGGCTTCTCAAGCATATGGCTGTGGTTACAACTGTAACACAAACAGGACATATGGCTCAAAATATGGACATATTTTCTATTACTAAGAACCCACAGGGAGGTGAAGTTTCAGCCTTTACTCACAGTCGCAATTTCCGCTATCTCCATTGTACATCAGGACAGGATGAGAGGCATAAATGTGTGTCCTGGTTTCGGCTGAGGTGGAGTTAATTTTATTCTCAGTAGCTGCTGTGTTTTGGATTTGGTAAGAGAAGAGTGTTGATAACACTGGTGTTTTCAGTTGTTGCTAAGAAATCAAGGACTTTTTCCAGTTTCCCGTGTTTGGCTAATGAGCAGGCGTGCAGGAGCTGGAGGGAGCACAGCCAGGCAGCCAGCCCAGGCTGCCCAATGGAAATATTCCATACTGTAGACTGCATGCTTGGTTTATGAATAGGGGTTGGCCAGGGGGCAGGAATCTTTCTTTCTATTTTCAGTGAGTTCAGATCCTCTCTTATCTGGGAGTTAGAACTTGTCCGGGAGTTCAGTCTTTTTCAGAAGTTTCACAAATTCTGTGATTTCTGGGTTCCGCAATCACTGCTTAGGGACTGACCATGAATCGATCATTGGGCAGTGAAATTGTTTTAGATATATTTTGTTTTGCATATGCACTATTGTCAGTATTATCATTAGTATTATTATTACAGTTATTAGTATTTCCTTTGTTACCATGTTAAACTGTCTTTATCTCAACCCACGAGTTTCCCCCTTTGTCCATTTCTCTTCTCCATCCCACGAGGCAAAAGGAGAGGGATGAGCGAGTGGCTGTCTAGTGCGTAGTTGCCAGCTTCCGGGTTAAACTGTAATAATAGGTTTCTCATTTTTTATTTCTGGAATTTTGTGGTGTATAGAGGGACCATTAAACTGGGGTGCACAAAAAAGGCCCCAGTGGCATGGATGTACATATGGGAGAAGGGACTCTCTAGGAAACTAGCAGCAACAAACAATAAAACTGATGACATTAACAGATGGACAAAGATAAAGGAAGCAGTGTGGAGTAAAAGCAATAACATCTTCCTGTAGAAATCAAAAGGAAAGATATTAAACAGAACCATAAGACTAGACACTATTGTCCTTATAGAAATTTTTCTCTGTAAGATATACAGAAGCATTAAGATTCAAGTCCACAACTTTA